GTTCCGGCAGCACGATGATGTGGTGATGGTGATGGTGAAGCTATCTCTGCAGGGCCTCGCGTAAGCACTAGAAAAATATGACCGAGGGACGAAACTGTGGAGAGGGGCGCCGCACATGGCTAAGATGATGGTCTGTCCTTGTGTGGCGCCCCCTCCCCACATATATATTGGTGGGGGGAAGAGGGAGGTATCCAGGAGGCGCCCTAGGTGGGCCCAATCTCACTTGGGCACCTACCCTTGGCCGGCCCCGCTTCCTTCTTTTGGTGATGGGGAGAAGGAAAGGGAGTTGGCTGCCTTAGGGCGCCTCCCCTTTCCTTCCCTCCCTCCTTTGGTGTGTGGGAAGGGGGTAGAGGGGCGCACCAGCCCCTTGTGGGCTGGTGTCCTCTTTCCCTTTGGCCCATGAGGCCCAATAACCTTCCTGGAGCTTCTCGGAACCCCTTTCGATGACCCGATAAGTACCCGGTGCATTCTGAAACCTTTTCGGAGACCAAATACCATCGTCCTATATATCAATCTTTACCTCGGGACCATTCCGGAGCTCCTCGTGATGTCCGTGATCTCATCCAGGACTCCAAACAACATTCGGTTACCATATCACATAACTCATATAACAATAGCTATATCGTCAACGAATGTTAAGCGTGCGGACCCTACGGGTTTGAGAACTATGTAGACATGACCGAGAAACTTCTCCGGTCAATAACCAATAGCTGAACCTGGATGCCCATATTGGTTCCTACATATGACGAATATCTTTATCGGTCGAACTTATGACAACATACATAATTCCCTTCATCGATTGGTATGTTACTTGCCCGAGATTCGATCGTTTGTATCTTCATACCTAGTTTAATCTCGTTACCGGCAAGCCTCTTTACTCGTCCCATAATACATCAGCTCATAACTAACTCCTTAGTCATTTTGCTTGCAAGCTTCTTGTGATGATGTATTACCGAGAGGGCCCAGAGATACCTCTCCGATACTCGGAGTAACAAATCCCAATCTTGATCCATTCCAACCCAATAGATACCATTGATATACCACTAGAGCATCTTTATAATCACCCAGTTACGTTGTAACGTTTGATAGCACACAAGGTATTCCTTCGGTATCCGCGAGTTGCATGATCTCATGGTCGAAGGAACATGTATTTGACATTCAAGAAAGCAGTAGCTATAAACTAAATGATCATATGCTAAGCTAACGGATGGTTCTTGTCCATCACATCATTCTCCTAATGATGTGATCCCGTTACCAAATGACAACTCATGTCCATGGTTAGGAAACCTTAACCATCTTTGATCAACGAGCTAGTCTAGTAGTGGCTCACTAGGGACACGATATCTGTTTATGTATTCACACATGTATTTAAGTTTCCGGTCAATACAATTCTAGCATTAATAATAAACTTTTATCATGATTAAGGAAATATAATAATAACCATTTTATTATTGCCTCTAGGGCATATTTCCATTAAATATATCAGTTAAGCCATCGCAATTTTATTACTTACACCATGACAATTTTATTAATTAGACCATGGCAATTTTTCCAGTTAGACCATGGTATTTTTTCTAGCTAGACCATGACAATTTTATCAGTTAGACGATGGAAATTTTATTAACTAGACCATGGCAATTTTCTTGTATGTACCATGACAATTTGAATTTTTAGCATATGACATTTTCATTTTAAATTGTAGGTAGCACTTTTCAATTTTGCCATGCGACTACATTTTACTTTGAGAGACATCATTTCTATCCTCTATAACATGAGATTTTTTGTTTGTGTTTTTCAGATGGCAAAAATTTAATACCTGAATCTTAAAAATGGGCAAAAAAATATTAACATTTAGATGATTTGTTATCTCAATTTTTCAATATTATTTTTTTCTACATCATAGCAACCCCTTTTTGCACTTTTTAATTTTGTGTGTGTAAAATGGGAGTGTTGGGCCAAAAGGCTAGCAAATAGCATGGTTGGCATGGGGTTAGCGCTGGGAAGGTTTCCCACCAAACCAAAAGGTCCCCTCGAGGGGGTTCCTCGTAGCAAACCAAAACGTTCACTGGACCTCCCCTCGTGGTGTCTGCTAGCGAGCTATTGATGTTTTTTTGCAGGTGCGGAGCATGAAGATTGACGATGTTACCATGGGCACCTCGCTATCGACTGGTACACCACCTCCCACTCAAGGAATAATCAGTATTAATGAGACACCAAAGCGTCAAACCTAGGGTTTCATCTCTGATGTGCTGGAGAATCACTTCTCTCCTAACTATCCAACCACTGGTTGGTTCTCAATGGATAGTTCTTCTGATAAGCCATTCACCTGCACCTGATCACGCTTACATGATCATCCAACCATTGCAACATAAGCCCCATACGTGTATCATTATTTCATTGTTTGCAACAACGGTGGTTATTTCCCACTCAAAAGAATCAATTTCACTGCATGCCTGCATCTTCGATGTCTTGAAAAATTCTTGACATTGTGTTGTTGGAGGGCCAAATTTACTTGATATGGAGGCTCAATGGCGGAGGCACGGGATCCCAGAAGCGGAGCCACGGGGGCTCGTTTGTGTCACGTGGGAGACAGGCGGGGAGAAGATGCCACTAGGGTTTTGGTTTGAGAGGGAGGATGATTGGTTTCCTTATAGTTTGGCTTTTTGGGCGTGGATTATCCTAGATGGTTGGATAAGAAACCTGTTAAAAAATTCTACAACTTGCAATTAGATAATTATTGAGTTGGTTTCTTCAAGCGAACCGAAAGAAAGAACTCTTTGAGTCGGTTTTCCAAAAGATCCGTCATAGATGACCTTTCTAATTATTCGCTGGCTGAAATTTTCGCCCAAAACCAACTCTATGGACTGACGGGAGAACTAGGATTCCTTGTAGTAACAAATACATATATAGTACACGCGTGATGAATGGATATTATTACTAGGATATTCAGAAAGCAATATACCGAAAAAGGCTTTTGCCCCGCTTTATATATAAAGAAAAGATCCACAGTGCCCGGTACAACCGCACTCATGCACAATTAACACACACACCCAAGGCAGGATACATAGGCGCTGAGCGCAGCAACACACACCCTAGCACTACAAGAGCCGCCGGGGGCTTCATCCGAAGAAGTGACGCCACATATGACGAACCGTGGGCTTCAAGGCGGTGCCTTCAGGAAGGATACGGCACCGGAACGTCGCCACGGCCCGATCCGAGGATCAGAGTTTCCCCTGGAGCACCACGACGGGTAGTGGTAACCGCGACGATGCCTTCAAGTAGGGAGCGATCTTCGCCGTCGCCAGTCCGTCCGAAGATAGAGTAAGTTTTCACCCCGGCCAACATTCACCGCCACCGAACGCCACACCCCAGCTACCACGCCGCCCACACGGCCATGGCAGCCGGGCAGCACCGAGGCACGAGCTCTGCCCATGAGCACCGCGCCGCCACCACCAGGGCCGCTGCCCCGGATTCCAAGACCTTGGCGCAAAGTCCACCGAGCCCCACCGCTACCCCCACCGCAGAGACGGGCGGAAAGGATCCGCCTTTCACACCCTTGGCTGGTCCCAACGCCGAGACCCAGGAGGTCGGCCACAACAAGCGTCCATCGAGCCGTCCTGCTACACCGGGCGCAAGACAAGCGCAGACTTGCCACCGGGCGCGAGACGGGCCGGTCCTACTGTCAAGTGCGAGACGAGCGCAGTCCTGCTGCCGGGCGCGAGACGGGCCGGTCCTGCTGCCGGGCGCGAGACCAGCTCGGTCCTACGGCACCGGGTGCGAGACGGATGATGGACCACCGCTGGGAGAAGGCCAGCCCTCCAGAGAGAGAAGCGAACGGACGCCGAGGAGAGGGGTCGAAGGCCAAACAGGCAGCCTACAGATGGGCCGACGCTAGGAAAATCTGGTCGCCGCCGCAATCAACCTGCCACCACCACTGCAGCCATCGGGCACGCACCCCTGCTGCCACCGCCACTGCGCCGCCACCCCGACCAGCCGAGGGGGCCTCGGTCAGGGCCGCCGCTCGCAGCCCTAGCCTTCGCGGCCCGCGCCGCCGAGAGGTCAGATCCGGAAGAGCCGCCGTGGCCGTCGTCTCCAACCTCCGGCCCGCCACCACCACCACCACGCCGATGTTACCTCTGTCGAGACGCACGAAGCCCCAGCCGACCGCAGCCCAAGCCAACCGGAGCCCGCGGCACTGAGGCTCGGCATGATCCATCACGAGATGCAGCCAACCGCCCCCCACAGTCCGCACCACCACCGTCGCCACCACGCCCGCCCCCTACCCCAGCAAGCAGCCGGTAGGAGAAAGCCGTGGGCCAAGCTGTCCGCAGCCCCGGCCAGCCGACGGGCCGCCGGTGCCAGGCCCGGTCAGATCTGGGCACACGCGACCCCCGCGCCACCGCCCGAAGGACGCCGCCCCGCAGCCACCGCGCCGACGGAGCCTCAAAACGCCGCCACCCACCGCCAAGCAGAAGACCGGCCGCTCCGCAAGCCCGCCACCGCGCCGCCGGGCCCCACGGCAGCCCGACGCCCCCGTGCGCCGTTCGGACCCGCATCCTGAGCCGCACGCGCCGGGAAGGAAGAGCGCCCCGCCGCCACCTACGCCGGCCGGGCTTTGCTCGGCGGTGCCTTGCGGCGGCGGCGGGGGAGGGAGATCGGGAGGGGAGGGCCTGAGTCGGGGCTAGGGTTAGCCCCCGGAGTCGCTCGCGGGAGCGGCTTGGGGGTAGGGGGAAAAATCTGCCTCGGGAGCAATATCCACAATTTACGTGCAGCCAGACCCAGTAATTTTCGTTTGAAATTGTCCACTTGGCTTGATCTTTCAGCAAGCTTTTGCCGTTGGTGTCGTTGCACCAACAGAAGCATGCGAATGTATGATTCAACTAGACATTCTCGTCGGAAACATGCATGCCTGCATGCACTCCCTCTCACCACTTCCAAATATAATTATACAGGATAATATGTTCCGTACAATACATATGACATGTTATATATTTTCTGATTCATTTTTCTTCGGTAGAAGTGCAGCTGCTATGCAATTCCAGCACATAGTTAAGTCTTCCCACGATCTCCTCTGCTGTAACGGTGAAGCCCTCATCCACCTGAAAACAAAATGCGAACTAGCTATTGACCAGCATTGTATTCTCCTACTTCGTTCAGATGAATATAATACTTATGAATAAACATGATAAGCTTTTTTCCAAGGGGGAACATGCATGATTGGCTAGATTGAGAATTATGTTTTGTTTAATAAAAAATAATGGTCATTAAACAAAAATGCTAAACCATTTCACTGAATGGGGCCCCTACCCTTTTATTCTCCAACCAAATCTCGTCATGTCGGCTCGTCCATACAGTCCATAAGACATCCCCCATAAATGTAGCTTTACTCATCATCAAATATTATATATACTAGTCTATGTGTACGTGCAATGCACGTTAATTTGGAAGTATATTGAGTGCATGCGGATATTAAGTAGGATATTATTTGTGTGTTATTATGTGAATAGCACTATATTTGGCATGAAATAAATTGCACGATAAATGTGTTAGACACTCAACATTGAAGCAGTCTAGATTGTTGGATTGACATGATTTGATTGCCGAGATTAATTGGATCTGCCCCTTTGGGTCTTTTTATATTGGTATAGACATGTAGGTTGTACAAAAGTACGTTTGTGGAATTTTCTATGCACGTCGACCATGTCTTGCAAATTAAGAAGCTTCCTCATAATGCGGGATAGACTATGTATTTTGTATGGAACGTCAATTAAGGCCATCATAGTACAACTATGATGGTATGATATCCAATTTTTTATTTTTGCCGGGGCCAAGTTTTATATTTTGTTGAATGGTTCGAACTAGCCAGTTTAAAACAATGAATATAGGTTTCAGTGTAAATAGCCCAGTTTAAAACAAAACTTTCCAGCATTGAAATCACATTGTCTTCGAGACATGAATACCTTTCTGATGGTCCAAGTTGCTAATCACTTCGGTATAGCTAAATCTAAGTCATTTCAAATTGTCCTATTTCTAAGTCGATGCTCTAATTAAGCCGCGTGATGTCCACATGTTGAGATACATGTCGAAGCGAGTGTAGAAATTTCATGCCCAGCAACTATATTCAAAATAATTATAATTAATAATATTGAGAATACCTCATTATGAATCGAGTGTAACAATGGGTGATTATCAATGGAAACATACTCCCTCCATACGTTAACTAGATGTTCTGACCTTTTTCTAATTCAAATGTATATAAACGTGTTTTAGTGTGTTTGCTCACTCATGTCAGTTTGTATATAGTCCATATTGAAATATTCAAAACATCTTATAATAGTATCATATATGTTCGGTTGATGAAAAGTCTGCCTGGGCACATTGATAAGTGGAAGGAGGTAGATATATTTAGACATAAAAAGTCTTGCTCGACTTTTATGTATATATGAACGATTTGTTCCGCGGAGATATTTGCTACCATCATATCTACCTACTAGTGTGAATAATTGGACGGAAATGTGAAATCTGCAAGGAAGGAAAACTTGCCTTGGCTGTGATGGTTATGATGAGAGTGCAGGCCGTGAAGGGCATGACATTGGCGTGGGTGACGGTGAGGTGGAGCCCCTCCTCCACCCCCGACAGCACCCTCACCACCACCCCCTTGACGTCTTCGCACAGGATCCTCACCATGACGCCGGTCTCCGAGAACCGCACCTCGATCTCCGGCAGTGGGTTCCTCGAAGCCGGCGCCCCCAACGACGCCGACGAGGGCGAGCCGTTCTGGTTCTGATCTGAGACGGCGGCGTCGGCGTGGCGCGGCTTCTTGACGAGCACCACGGTTTCGATGCTCCTGCTGCTGCGGCCGGTGGCTGCCTCGAGGGCCTTGATCTTCTCCTGCAGCTCCTTGGCGTGCCTCGTCGCGTCGGAAAGGATCGTCGCCTTGTCCATCTGAATCAATCATATGGTCATATCATATGGACGACCTACACTGAGATTTCTTTTCAGGCGTTGAAACAAATCGGATTCGGAGCACCTTCTTGAGGCCGGGGATGACGGTAGAGAGCTCGATGAAGCGCTGGTTGATCTTCTCGCGGCGCTTGCGCTCCGCCATGATATGGTCTTGCGCGTACGGCGGCCCCGACGACACGGGTCCAGTACCGGTGGGGCTCCTTACGGCGGCCCTCCTCGTCGGCTGGGACCCGTGCACCATCTCCGGGACCGGGACGACAGGCCGGGCCCCTGCGCTGCCGCTGTCCAGTGCACTGTCACTGGCCGGCAGCGTGGAAGCGGCGCAAAAATTCCAGCTCGTCACCGGAAGGTTGGTGCCCGCAACCCCACCGTTCCCGGAAAGTCTTGGAGCGCACCTGGCCGAGGTCGGCGGGGACGGGGGCCAGACGTCGTGCTCCATGGCCGCCGGGGACGAGAAATTACCACCAAAACCTCCGCTGCCGTGTGTGGTTTCGCAGGAGGTCCCGCTGCTTGCCGGATTGGGTCCCAAAATCAGCTCTTCGAAGACGAGACGCTGCTCACGGAGCGCCTGAAGCGAGGGGAAGCCTGCCTCGCCGTTGACGGCCACCACTAGGTCTGGGTGCTCCTGCTCCAGCGTGTCCATGGCCCATTTCATGAACAGGGCGGAGTCGTCCATGTCGCCTAGCTACATAATTTGGATGGATGCAAATAATGGAGAGGAAACTTCTAATTAGGAAAGATAGATGAAAAGTTTGCGAGAACCAACCAAACTGAATGTAATAATACACAGAAGAAAGAGATGCATGTATATGTGTACGTTACTATAAGATGAGGAGGCTTGTATACTACCTCAAATCCTTCCTAAGCTGGCAGAGGACACTATGATTAGCAAGTCCCCTCGAAAATATTTAGTGAGCAGCGCTACCCAAAGAAGCAAGGGAGAGGTTTTGCCTTATATAGATATAGGACAGTGACGGTCGCTGCAATACTAGTGGCCTCAATAATGCATGGGAGAAAACAATCCTTTCAATCAAATCTGGTTATATGTCGCCTAAATCAGGTGAAAACGATATTTTACACCCCCTACAATACGCTAGGTAAACTAAAATACAGGAGCTGATGTCCACCCTTGATGTGTTGATTTGACCTAGCTCATTTATCTCTGGAGCTAGCAATATTTTTGCCTTAATTATCAATCATCCATGTCTTTATCGCTAATAATAGTACAGAAGAAGAAAAAGATCCATGCTTTACTATGACTAGTCACAGCGGGAGTAACTTCAGCAGTAACATCGAGTCCAACTCAGCAAATTTGCTTAAGTGACAATGAGTTAATGACGAGAGAGATAGTTCTGGTAACTTAGCTACCTAGTTACTGTAACATCACATGTCCCAATGCAATATGAGTCTAAACTAATAAATGAAGTTTTGCATGACATCACACTTATGTTATACTACCCACTATGAAGGTAGTAACATAGTCATGGGATATGTGTATGTTACTAGAGTATATTACTCTCCATTGTGACTAGTCTATAAGAGGAGGCTTATCCAAACTCAATACTACTACTTCAGACTTAATTACCTCAAATCTTTCCTAAGCTTGCAGAAGACACACTATGATTAGCAAGTCCCCTGGAAATATTTTAGCGAGCATGCAGCACTACCCAAAGAAGCAACAGAGAGGTTTTGCCTTATTTAGATATAGAGCAGTGACAGTCGCTACAATACTAGCTAGAGGCCTCTGAATGGCTCCTCCCTTCCAAAGGCCAATAATGCATGGGAGAAAAAAAAAATCCTTTCAACCAAATCTGGTTATGTCGCCTAAATCAGGTGAAAATGATATTTTGCACCCCCTATCAATACGCTAGGTAAACTAAACTACAATAGCTGATGTCCACGCATGATGTGGTGATCGATTTGACCTAGCTCATTTATCTCTGGAGCAATATTTTTCGTGCTAATTCATTCGGCCCTGATCAATATCACAATCTCATGCCGGGCTTGCACACACATAATATCTTTCACCTCAGAGTGACACTTCGATAAAAGGAGCAGACAAGGAAGTAGGAAAGGTCTTTGGATGGCTTAATTTAATTAGTTGATTGCAGCGAAAATTGATTAAGTATGTAGTCGATGGCCCGATGCTGATGTCTTATTCGTACTATGCTGAGTATTTTATCTTCATCTACAACTCCACCAAATCTGTGCAAAATTGAGTGCAATGTGGAGCCACTAACAATTAATATGCATCACCTTGTCTTTATCGCTAAGCACTTGCAAACTTTACAAGTTAGAATGGATGGGAAGACATAACTTGTACTTCCTTCTTCCAGAAATACTTGTCAGATAAATGGATGATGAAGGAAGTAGGCTTTGAGTTATACTAGGACAATGCCCATGCATTGCAACACGATATAGATATTTTATTAGTATCTTAGCTTGTGATTACCTGCCCATATTAATGCGATTGTGTAAATAAATATTTATCAAATCTTGATTTACCTTATAGTTTGATGAGAAATTAGGTAAGTAAAGTAAAGTGAAATTGGTTTAAAAGATAAATAAATTGAGGTAATTGATTATCATATACATGGAAGATTGGACGAAAGGTGGTGGGAAGAAAAGTGAAACATGACACCTTACATTCTTTTTAAGCAGTAGAGATAGAGATTGATGAAGACAAACACTTCAATTGAATTCATCCACATATTAAATCAAGATGTGAGGACAAAGTAATATTCGACAGAAAAAACTTAGCTTTAATAAATGAAATGTAAGACAAGTTTCACATCATCCATTCCAATATGTGACAAAATATATAGTTATTTTACAGAAGATTAGAGCATCTCCAGTCGTTGGCCCCCCAGGGGACGCGTAATATCGCCGCCTGGGGGCAGCCGGCGCGTACGAACGGCCTGGAGGCGAGTTGATGCCCAGTTGGCGGCCTCAGGGCCGCCACTAGACGCGTCTAATTTTTTAAAATAAAAAATCATTCGGCGAAGTTCGGTTAAAACACGGCTAAAATTGGGCAAACTTTGGCATATATTAGACATGTTCGCGACTTACATAGCAAATTTATCTAAAAAAAGAAATCGCTAAACGCGGGCTAGTCGCCGCCGTCGTCGCCGGTCTTCTCCTCCTTGACGCGGCCGTCCCTGCTGGACCCTTGCCCGGCGTCGCCATGGCGGACTGGTGGCGGTGGCGGTGCGTCGTCGTCGTCGCTGTCGTCTAGGACGACGATGCCTCCTACATCGCGGCCCCGGTGGCGCTTCTCGAAGCGCTGCAGGGCGGTGCACTGGCGCTCCATCTCCATCTTCAGGTAGTCCTTGCGCACCCATTTCAGGGCAGTCTCATCGTCGGGGTCCACATCGCCGTGCTCCATCTTCACGGCGGGGATCCCCGGCTCGTTTTTCACGGCCGTGATCCCCGGCTCCGTCTTTGGCTTGACGAAGCGCGGTGCAGCCGCCGAGGAGGCATGCCGGCCGCCCTCGTTGATGACGATGTCGGTGCTGCGAGTGCGCCGGCCGAGCGGCATCTCCGCCACGGGCTCGGCCTTGACGCCGAGCAACGCCGGAGAGCCAGAGGAGTGGGAAGAAGAGCGTGAGGAGGAGTGCGAGGAGGAAGACGAGGAGGAGCTGAACCTCCTGGGCATCCATTGCGCGGCGCGTCGGCGGTGGGACGGGGCGTCCGCCGGAGGGTATGCCAGTGGCGGTTCGTCGCCGCCCTCAAGGTACGCCAGCACGCCCTCGAGCGTGCGGCCGGGGGCGCCCTACCACACGCGGCGGCCCTCGCTGTTCTTCACGCCGCCGACCACCGGTGCCCCATTGGTGGACG